TTTCTATTTAATTAGTCCCTACACATACAGGTTCCTATAAGCAATGCCTGAATCTGCTTAATGGCGTTCTTTTATCAGGCATTGCATGACCACCCTAACACCGGGACAATGCGGCCTGCTGATGACAACTATGACTTTTTATTTCCAGCAATTACAGATGGCTCCCGCATCTGGAACGGAAATCTTGGGAGAACGGAGAAGGGGGCCCACACGCCTGTAGTGTCTGGAATTCCTGTTCGGAGTCAGCAGAGCCTGGACAGTGCAATGGCCCGAGGGGTGGCCAGGACTGGGCTTCCTGTGCCATGTCAGACCTTCCCAGCATGCCATCGCAGTACAGGTATTTATTATAAATTGTATAGGGTAAGTGGGATAGATTGCTAAGCTGTCCATTTACAGCTCCTAAAACGAACTGTAAATGTGGATGTTTCTGTTGCTATAGTCAGTCTTTCCAGAGGATTTCCGTAGTCTTGGATACTATAGATACAGCCTTCTCAGGGGCTCTCCGTTGCTTGGATATAAAGCACAGTCCTTTCAGAGGCTCTATGCAGTTTTAGATGGACAGCACTGTCCTTTTAGAGGCTCTGTGCAGTTTTAGATGGACTGCACAGTCCTTTCAGAGGCTCTATGCAGTTTTAGATGAACAGCACAGTCCTTTCAGAGGGTCTCTGTAAGCTTGAAATGGAGAGAACATCCTCCTTTTCAGAGGAGGCCAAGATGGACAGTATAGTTCTTTCATTCAGTCAGATTCAGTGGCTGTTCAGCAGGAGATTCTTCCATCCGCTCTGCAGAAGCTAAAAAAAAAAGAAAATCTAAGGGTGTATGGTTAGCTTTAGATGTAGAGCATAGTCCTGTCAGTAGGTAGGCTTTGCCAGGACATGCAGCCCTCTCTGGATGCTTAGATGGAGAACTCATCATGTAGGCTTAGATTGAGAGTATAGTCCTTTTAGAGGTTCTCTGAAGGCTTAGATGGAGAATATAGTCTTTTCAGAGGTTCTTTATAGGCTTATATGGGGAGAACAATCATTTCACATGTGTTCTATCCTCTTTAGAGACATTCTGTAGGCCTTGTGGAGAACACAGTCCTATTTAGAAAAATTCTGTAGGCTGAAATGAAGAGCATAGTCTTTCAGAGGTTCCTAGTGGGCTTAGACTGAAAGCGTAGACCTTTTTAGAGCCTTTTTGTAGCTTTAGGCGGAAAGCAGTGTACTTTCAAATGATCTCTGTGGGTTTAGGAGGGGAGCACAGTCCTTTCAGGGACTCTCAGAAAACCTGGAGGTTGCAGACCTTTCATAGGTTTTCTGTAGGCCTGTGTGAAGAGCACAGTTCTTTAAGAGGCTCTTTATAGAGTACATGGAGAATACAGTCCTTTCAGAGGTTCTCTGTAGACTTAGAGGGAGGTCACAGTCTATTCAGAGATTCTCTGTAGGCTCTAGGCTGCCCTTTCAGTGACACTCTGTAGACATGGATAAAGAGAAAAGTCTTTCAGAGGTTCTATGTAGGCTTGGATGGAAAGCATAGACCTTTTAGAGTTTCTGTGCACCTTTAGATGGAATGCAAAGTCTCTTTGTAGGTTTAGGAGAAAAGCACAGTCCTCTAAGAGAGTCTGTGTAAACAAGAATAATAGACCTTTCATAGGTTTTCTGTAGGCTTATATGGAGAGCTTGGTCCTTGGAGAAGTTCTTTGTAGGAGTAGATGGAGAATAAAGTCCTTTCAGTGGTTCTTTGTAGGTGGAGATGGATTATTCAGCCCTATCAGAGGTTCTTTGTATGTGTAGATGGAGAATACCGTCCTTTCAGAGGTTCTTTGTAGGTGTAGATGGAGAATACTGTCTTTTCAGAGGTTGTTTGTAGGCGTGGATGGAGAATACAGTCCTTTTCAAAGATGTTCTGTAAGCTTAGATGAATATCACAGTTCTTTGAGAGTTACTCCATCTTAAATGGAGAAAACAGTCCTTTTTGAGACATTATGTGGGCTTAGATGGAGGTTACAATCCTTTCAGAGGTTCTCAGTAGATGTATATGGAAAATAGTCCTTTCAGAGACTCTTTAGGCTTGGATGAAGAGCAAGGTTTTTCAGAGGTTCTCTGTGGCCTTGGACGGAAAGCATAGACCTTTAAGAGTCTCTTTGCAGCTTTAGATGGAAACCAGTATGCTTTCAAAGACTCTGTAGACTTAGGAGATAACGGTCCTTTTAGAGAGTCTCTGTAAATCTAGAGATAAAAGACCTTTTCCAGATTTTCTGTAGGCCTAAATGAAGAGCACAGTCCAGTTAGAGGTTCTCTGTAGGCTTTCATATAAAACTTCGTCCTCTAGGCTTGGATGAAGTGAACAAAGAACCTCTAAAATCTCAGTAGTCTTTGGATGAAGTAGATGGTTCCTTCAAACTTTCAGACTCAAGAAGTACATTTTGTCCATCTAGTTATATGTGGCTTTGATTAGTCTGGGCTATCTCTGGTCCCAGATAAAGGACCCAGTCCATCAGGAGGAGATCGCAGTGCTTTTAGAGAGTCTCTCTAAATCAAGAGATAACAGAACTTTTCCAGGTTTTCTGTAGGCCTAAATGAAGAGCACGGTCAGTTTAAAGGTTCTCCGTAGGCTTGGACATAAAACGTAAACCTTTTAGAATCTCTGTGTCACTTTAGATAGAAAGCAGTGTCCTTTCAAAACCTCTCTGTAGGCTAAGGAAGAGGTCGCAGTCCTTTCATAGAGTTTGTTTAAACCTAGAGATACCAGACTTTTCCTAGGTTGTTTGGGCCTATATGAAGAGCCCAGCCCTTTCAGAGGTTCTCTGTAGGCTTTCATATAAAACGCCATCCTTTAGGCTTGGATGAAGAGAACAAAGAATCTCTAAGATCTCAGTGGACTTTAGAGGATGTAGACAGTCGTTTTAAACATCCAGACTTAAATATAAAGCACAGTGGTTCTAAATGGCTTTGATTAGTCTGGGCTATCTCAGGTCCTGGATAAGGGGCCCAGTCCTTTCAGAGACATTCTGTAAATCTCCGTAGGCTTGGACATAAAACATAGTCCTTTTAGAATTTCTGTGTCGCTTTAGATGGAAAGAAGTGTCCTTTCAAAGCCTCTCTGTAGGCTTAGGAGGAGATCACAGTCCTTTCATAGAGTTTGTTTAAACCTAGAGTTACCGGACTTTTCCTAGGTTTTTTTTTTTTAGGCCTATATGAAGAGCACGGTCCTTTCAGAAGTTCTCGGTAGGCTTGCATATAAAACTCAGTTCTTGGATGAAGAGAACAAAGAACCTTCTTAAGATCCCAGTAGACTTTGGAGGAAGTAGTCCTTTCTCAGACTTCCAGACTCAAATATAAAGCACATATTATCCATCTGGTTCTAATTGGCTTTGATTAGTCTGGGCTATTTCAGGTCCTGGATAAGGGGCCCAGTCCATTAGGAGATTAGTCCTTTCAGAGACATTCTGTAAATCTAGAGATAACAGAACTTTTCCAGGTTTTCTGTAGGCCTAAATGAAGAGCACGGTCCAGTCAGAGGTTCTCTGTAGGCTTGCATATAAAACTCAGTCCTTGGATGAAGAGAACAAAGAACCTCTTAAGATCCCTGTAGACTTTGGAGGAAGTAGTCCTTTCAGACTTCCAGACTCAAATATAAAGGACAGTTTATCCATCTGGTTCTAAATAGCTTTGATTAGTCTGGGCTATCTCAGGTCCTGGATAAGGGGCCCAGTCCATTAGGAGGACATCAGTCCTTTCAGAGACATTCTGTAGATCAAGAGGTAACAGAACTTTTCCAGGTTTTCTGTAGGCCTAAATGAAGAGCACGGTCCAGTCAGATTTTCTCTGTAGGCTTACATATAAAACTCCGTTCTTCAGGCTTGGATGAATCCCAGTAGACTTTGGAGGAAGTAGTCCTTTCAGACTTCTAGACTCAAATATAAAGCACAGTTTAACCATCTGGTTCTAAATGGCTTTGATTAGTCTGGGCTATCTTAGGTCCTGGATAAGGGGCCCAGTCCATTAGGAGGAGATCACTGTCCTTTCAGAGACATTCTGTAGATCAAGAGGTAACAGACCTTTTCCAGGTTTTTTGTAGGCCTAAATGAAGAGCACAGTCCAGTCAGAGGTTCTCTGTAGGCTTGCATATAAAACTCCGTTCTCCAGGCTTGGATGAAGAGAAGAACCTCTTATGATCCCAGTAGACTTTGGAGGAAGTAGTCCTTTCAGACCCAAATATAAAGTACAGTTTGTCCATCTGGTTATCTGGGCTACCTTAGGTCCTTGATACGGGGCCCACTCCATCAGGAGGAGATCACTGTCCTTTCAGAGACATTCTGTAGATCAAGAGGTAACAGAACTTTTCCAGGTTTTTTGTAGGCCTAAATGAAGAGCACGGTCCAGTCAGAGGTTCTCTGTAGGCTTACATATAAAACTCCGTTCTTCAGGCTTGGATGAATCCCAGTAGACTTTGGAGGAAGTAGTCCTTTCAGACTTCCAGACCCAAATATAGCGTAGAGTTTATCCATCTGGTTATACATGCCTGTGATTAGTCTGGGCTATCTCCGGTCCCGGTAAGGGGCCCAGTCCAACAGCCTCCTGGTTTTGGGAAGAAAAGGACTATGGATGGATATTCATAGTGTTGAATTGGAAACAAAGACTGCGTGGTGGCCTGGAATAAGGCGCGCTCTCCATTCGCCAAGCCTGCTCGCTGTTCTTGGACGAAAAGCATAAAAAATGACATCATTCGCTATTTTCTGTAAATTTGGTAAATGTATGAACAAACCGTTCCATTGTCATGACTCCTGACCAATCTTTCAGGGTGAATGAGAAACCGCAATAAAATGGCAAACTCCAAGCAGCTGACAGAAACTGTCTTTTAATAAACGGCTCAGTCATTGAATTGTAATAGACCTCAAGAGGCGCCCCTCCGCCTGCTCTCCTGCGCTGGACTCTACTGCCCCCTACTGGCTACACACAGTAATGCTGTAAAAACTGCCATTTACTTACTCTTCTTTTCTCCTGGATTTGTCCCTGCAGATTTTGGAGGTAGCTATCGCCTCGGCAGATCCGCCTCCACGTCCGGAGTGCGTCAGACCTCCGTTCAGAGGCAGAATCAGGTATTCTATGTACACATGCATCACTTGTGCCGCATAATCCCTGCAGACCGTCTCTGACCTCTGCAGATCATCACGCATCGGTGTCATGCTGTCCCAGATCATCGCTGCTTCTTCCATGCACGTGATGCTTCCGCTGCTCTGCCCTGCCTGCAGAGCATTGCTCCATTCCATATTACAGATCGTTGCACCACCTGCAGAGCATTGCTCCGTTTCATAATACAGATCGTTGCACCACCTGCAGAGCATTGCTCCGTTTCATAATACAGATCGTTGCACCACCTGCAGAGCATTGCTCCGTTTCATAATACAGATCGTTGCACCACCTGCAGAGCATTGCTCCGTTTCATAATACAGATCGTTGCACCACCTGCAGAGCATTGCTCCGTTTCATAATACAGATCGTTGCACCACCTGCAGAGCATTGCTCCATTTCATAATACAGATCGTTGCACCACCTGCAGAGCATTGCTCCATTTCATAATACAGATCTTTGCACCATCTGCAGAGCATTGCTCCATTTCATAATACAGATCTTTGTACCATCTGCAGAGCATTGCTCCATTTCATAATACAGATCGTTGCACCACCTGCAGAGCATTGCTCCATTTCATAATACAGATCTTTGTACCACCTGCAGAGCATTGCTCCGTTTCATAATACAGATCCTTGCACCACCTGCAGAGCATTGCTCCATTTCATAATACAGATCGTTGCACCACCTGCAGAGCATTGCTCCATTTCATAATGCAGATCGTTGCACCACCTGCAGAGCATTGCTGCTGTGTTATAGCTTAGATCACCGCACCTGTCTCTGTAAGCTTTGTTTCACTTTGCACGCAGATCATTGCTCCGCTTCATTATGCAGATCACTGCACCACCCCTGCAGAGCGTTGCTCCACTTATTGGCACTTTGGAACAGTTGCGCCTGTGTGCAGAGAATTCCTCTGCTCCCTGTTGCAGGCCACTTACCTGTCTGCAGGACATTGCTTCACTTCATTATACTGAGCAACGCTCCCTTGCCCAGCATTGTAATGAACATCATTTGTCCTGGCTGCAGAGCATTACTTCACTTCACTATGTAGACCATTCCAGCTGTGTGCAGAGCATTGCTTCACTTCATTATGCAGACCATTGCAGCTGTGTGCAGAGCATTGCTTCACTTCATTATGCAGAGCATTGTGGCTGTGTGCAGAGCATTGCTTCACTTCATTATGCAGGCCATTGCGGCTGTGTGCAGAGCATTGCTTCACTTCATTACGCAGAGCATTGCGGCTGTGTGCAGATCTTCGCTTCACGTCATTATGTAGAGCATTGTGGCTGTGTGCAGAGCATTGCTTCACTTCATTATGCAGACCATTGCAGCTGTGTGCAGAACATTGCTTCACTTCATTATGCAGACCATTGCAGCTGTGTGCAGAGCGTTGCTTCATTCTATTATGGAGACCATTGCAGCTGTGTGCAGATCTTTGCTTCACTTCATTATGCAGAGCATTGTGGCTGTGTGCAGAGCATTGCTTCACTTCATTATGCAGAGCATTGTGGCTGTGTGCAGAGCATTGCTTCACTTCATTATGCAGAGCATTGCGGCTGTGTGCAGAGCATTGCTTCACTTCATTATGCAGAGCATTGCGGCTGTGTGCAGATCTTCGCTTCACATCATTATGCAGAGCATTGTGGCTGTGTGCAGAGCATTGCTTCATTCTATTATGGAGACCATTGCAGCTGTGTGCAGAGCATTGCTTCACTTCATTATGCAGAGCATTGCGGCTGTGTGCAGAGCATTGCTTCATTCTATTATGGAGACCATTGCAGCTGTGTGCAGAGCATTGCTTCACTTCATTATGCAGAGCATTGCGGCTGTGTGCAGAGCATTGCTTCAGTTCATTATGTAGACTGTTGTGGCTGTGTGCAGAGCATTGCTTCACTTCATTATGCAAAGCATTGTGGCTGTGTGCAGAGCATTGCTTCACTTCATTATGCAGAGCATTGTGGCTGTGTGCAGAGCATTGCTTCACTTCATTATGCACAGCATTGCATCACTTCATTACGCAGACCATTGCAGCTGTGTGCAGACCTTCGCTTCACGTCATTATGCAGACCATTGCGGCTGTTTGCAGAGCATTGCATCACTTCATTATGCAGAGCATTGCGGCTGTGTGCAGAGCATTGCTTCATTCTATTATGGAGAGCATTGCGGCTGTGTGCAGGGCATTGCTTCATTCTATTATGCAGAGCATTGCGCCTGTGTGCAGAGCATTGCTTCACTTCATTATGCAGATCATTGCGGCTGTGTGCAGAGCATTGCTTCATTCTTTTATGGAGAGCATTCCAGCTGTGTGCAGAGCATTGCTTCATTCTATTATGGAGAGCATTCCAGCTGTGTGCAGAGCATTGCTTCATTCTATTATGGAGAGCATTCCAGCTGTGTGCAGAGCATTGCTTCACTTCATTATGCAGAGCATTGCTTTAGTTTATTATGCAGACCATTGCAGCTGTTTGCAGACCATTGCTTCACTTCATTATGCAGATCATTGCCCCAGATCCTGTCACTGGTCATTGCGTCCTCTGCAGAGCATCGCTTCAGCTCATATTTGTGCCTTTCCATCCATCCGTAGCCACTATAAATCTTGTGCAGAGCATCTCATCCTCCCACTGAGCATTTCACCTCATTCAGTGTGCTAGACATTTGCTTCTTTGCAGAGCACCAATGAATATTTTGCATGCATATAACTGCAGAGCATCGCATCTGACTGCTTTCCCTGAAGAGCATCACACCCTTACAGAGCATCCCTTCTCCTCTTTCTGCCTCACTGCTATCACTGCTGTTTGTTTCTTCTCTTGGTGTCTGTTCCTCCTTGCAGAACATTCCATCCCTGCTCAGAGCATTGCTGCGTTTCTTGGATGCAAATCATCTCCCTTCTGCAGAGCATCACTCTTTTGTTGGAGAGACGGTGGGGGTTTCTCTAACGAACGTTTTTTAAACTTCCTATCACTTTGTAGTCCTGGACGGCGCGTCAGTCCAGAGTTCTCATCAGGTCATCCACACACCCCTCTGCTGCAGAGCGTCGCACATAGATAAATTCTCAGGCTGTTTTAGACCTGATGTTAAAGCAGAACTCTAGCCAAAAAATATTAGCTCCAAAAATGACAAAAGTGAACCTGTCCTTCAGACCCCGGACAAACCATTCTATTCACAGGGGAAATGCATATAATGGAGCTCTTTTACCCGCCAAAGTATTTGTACTTCTCTCCATCCAGTCCTGAGATTTACACAGCTCTGCCACATAGCACAGCCCTGTCTGGCGGGGCAGGAAACCTGACATTTCTCGGTTGCAGTTGCAGCATTTAAAGCATTGTTACCCAAATCTGACCTGGTATCAGCCCTTTGCAGTCCCTGTAAACCAAAGCCCAGAGTAAGGGAGGGAGAAGCAGCACAAACAGCCAATCATTTGTGCCACGCCTGCACTGCTCCGGTGCTTACAGGGACTTGCTGATTGGAGGAGAGAGAAGAGAGATGAGCTCATCAGTCTGCTACGTCTCCTTTCATTGCCCAATCACAGGCTGGGGGAGCTGTTCCTGGGGGTCTCCTGTTTCCTCTACATGTTGAATGTTATTAATCCAAAAAGAAAAAAATAGAGAAGTTTGGGAAAATACCACATTGTGGTCACTAGATGGCGCTAAGGATCATGGGAAATCCATTCTTATTACCTGTGATCTTTAGCCCCATCTAGTGGAGTTGGGGATGGGGGGGGAGGGGAAGAGGTAGGTGGGTGGGTATAGGAAGGGGAGAGGGCCTGGAATGTGGGTAAGAAAAAATGGGGGGGGGGGGGGGGGATGGGAGAGGAGGGGGGGGGGGGGGGAGGAAGGGCTGTTTTGGGGATGTGGGGATAGGAGAGGCGGGGGGGGGGGGGTAAAAGAGAAGGGAGAGGGGGGTGAATGGGGGAGATAGGAGAGGTGGGTTATATAGGAGGGGGGGGATGGGATGGGGCGAAGAGAAAGAATAGGGTAAGATAGCAGTGAGGGGGAGTTGGGGATGGGGAAGATGGCAGAGGTGGGTGGGTAGAAGGAGAGAGACTGCAAACGGAGTAAGAGAAAGTAGAGGGGATGATGGGGGGAGGAGAGTTAATGGAGGATAGGGGAGACGTGGGTGGGTATAGGAAGGGGAGAGGGCCTGGAAACTGGGTAAGAGAATGGGGAGGGGAAGATAGAAGTGGGGGGGAGTTGGAATGGGAGAGGTGGGTAGGTAGGAGGGGGAGAGGGGGGAAGGGGGTAAGAGAAAGGGGAGGGGAAGAGAGAAATAGGGGGGAGTTGGAATGAGAGAGGTGGGTAGGTAGGAGGGGGGGAGGGAAAGGGAAGGGGGTAAGAGAAAGGGGAGGGGAAGATAGAAGTAGGGGGGAGTTGGGATGGGAGAGGTGGGTAGGTAGGAGGGGGGAGAGGGATAGGGAAGGGGATGACAGGAAGGGGGAGGGGGGTGCATGGGGAAGATGGGAGAGGTGAGTGGGTATAGGAGGGGGAGAGAGCCAGGGAAGGGGTTAAGACAGGGTCAGAGAAAGTGAAGGGAAAGATAGAAGTGGGCAGGAGATGGGGAATTTAGGATAACTGGATGAGTAGGAGGGGGAGAAAGGTGGAAGGAGGAAAAGGGTAAGTAGGCAAGTGGGGGTGCTGGTGAGTCTTCTAGTATCTTCCAGCTTAAGGTGTCCTTGGGATGCCATTCCAGGGTTCCTCAAAGTGGACCCCCGGCTGTCGTTGGGGAAGGGGTAGTCTGTGGGTCTGGTCATCTCTCTGTGGCCGAGGGATTTAGGTGTCTGTTCGGTGTAGAGGGTTTTTGTATGTTGTAGTGAACTTAAACAGGTGCCACCTAGCTCTAATTAGTTATGAGCTTGGGTTTGGTCCAAACCAAAAAATGTTTTCATTGCCTGGCCAATCGGCCCCGCTGCTGCACGTACACAAAGAGGCAGGGATGTTTGTGACTTCATTAACCTAATATGGTCACATGGCCATGCTAGGTCAATGTCATTGGCCATGTGTCCATAATAGGTCAATCATGTCATGAGCATCTTCCTCCCCATGTCATTGAGCTTGTACCAGCAACCTACGTATAGGGGGGGTTGGAGCTTGCATAGGGCTAAGGACAATCCCCGGGTTCCTCCTCACATCGCTCAAGCCTGGTGGCTGTCTGGTTGGAGCTTACGCAGTACTAAGGACAATCCCCGGGTTCCTCCTCACATCGCTTATGCCTGGTGGTTGGCTGGTTGGAGCTTACACAGGGCTAAAGACAAGCCTCAGGTTCCTCCTCACTTTGCTCAAGCCTGGTGGTTGGCCAATGAGTGCTAGTCATGGCCTACTGAAAAGCACAATGCTGCCACCATAATGTTCTTTAGGCTCCAGGGGATGGGGGTGTGTATGGGTGTTTCAGTCACTGGGAGTGAATGGAAAGGCGTGTAGGTAGTGCCGGCTGGAGATCAAAGTATTTCAGGAGTTTGATGTGCAGGGAGAGCTGCTTTTTAGTTCACTAGGCAGGCAGGAGGTGGAGAAATGAGAAAGGAAGTTGGAAAAGTTGCAGGATCTAATTAATGGAACCCCCTAGGGTAACATAAGAAAGTAACAAAATGAAGGCTATTTTGGAAGGTGCTATAAGTCACATAAATTTGTGTTTTCTCATGGCATGCAGTTCTGCTCTAACCAAAGGATCCTCTAAGTTAGTGGTCTCCAAATCCGGCCCGTGGGCCAGATGCGGCACTTTGCTTGCCTATTATCTGGCTGTTGAGGTGCAATTCCTCCTACTGACACCAAAGATAGAGACATCATTTCTTCCACCGACACCGACATTGGGGCACTATTCCTTCCACTGATATCATCGATGAGACACCATTTGTTCCACTGACACCAACAGTAGGGCACTATTCCTCCTACTGACACCAACTATGGAACACTATTGCTCCCACGGATACCAATGATGGGGCACTCTTCCTCCCATGGATATAAATGGTTGACCACTATTCCTCCCACTGACACCAATGATAAGGCATTATGTCTCCTGCTAATACCAATGATGTAGGACTAGTCCTTTTACTGAAACCAAGGATTGGGATCCATTCCTCTCATGGATATAAATGATTCACCACTATTTCTCCCAGCGATGGGGCAATATATCTCCTGATACTACCAATGATGGCCCCCAATTTCTACTCCTACTGACCACTAAGTTGGGGTATGGTTTGCTCCCACTGATGCCAGGACATTTTCGACTCCCAATGGCCAAAGTTTGCACCCCTAAAGTTTGAAGGACAGTAAACTGACCATTAGTTTAGAGAGTTTGGAGACCCCTGCTCTAAGCTTTGGCAAAACCCTAACATACAATCCTTATTATGTCTTTTTTTCTTCTCCCAGGCTGTCTTGTCCCCTACCCCTACTGTGGCCCCCGGGGGCCGGGAGCGTGATGGGAAGCTGCAAGAGGTCATCGAGAGGAAAAGGTTCCTTTGTCACGAGATCAAATCTCGCCAACCGCGGGCTGAGAGGGGCCTCTGCAAGCAGGAAAGCCTGCCCATCCTGCCAAGCTGGCGTCGTGGGTCGGAGGGCCGCAAAGGCGGGACCCCGCCGTGCCATCGGCAACAGGCTGTGCTGTGGGACACTGCCATCTGACTGCAGCCATCTCGCCCTCTCTTCACCCAGGGGCGCTGGCCGACACCCTGTGGCGAGGGGGCATGAGGAAAAGACGGCGCGACGGGAGTGACGGTCTACAGGGAATACGATTACGGGAGGGAAGACGAGGTGCTCTGCAGATGCCAAGGCAGCGTTCGGGGCAGAACATCCAAAATGATGAGAGAGGAATTTCACACTGGGACAAGAAATGTCTTCTGCAAAATGGGACAATGGGAGTGGTGCAAGTCAATGAGGGGAATTAGGCTCCTTGAGGTGGGTAAGGGTCCAGTCCCAACCAGGTCCTCCAAAGTCACGTGAGGTGGACTTCAGAAATTCAAGCCAAGAGGCTACTCCCAGAGATACACCACTACCGCTCTAGAGTCACTTCGGATAGGAAAGAGACCCTGCAAATCCGGTCAAGGGCTAAACCAGCAGGAGGCACTACCCGGTTCAAAGCCCTGTTCACTCTCCCTCCATAGATAACGGGGTAGTGTGGTCTTTCCGTCCAAAGAGAACATTAATATCAGAATTGCTACACTAAGCAATCACACTCTGTAACCCTCTTTTAGGATAAAATATCAACTTTAAAGAATAATGAATACAACCCCCATCCACAAACCTATAGGAAACCACCGTGTGTACGTAGGCCATGGGGTGTGTACGTAGGCCATGGGGTGTGTACGTAGAACATGGGGTGTGCTTATAAAAATCAGTATTTCATTTTCCTGAATTTTGCCTTGTTTTACCTTTTTGCATTCTGACCCCTTGCCAAACAAGCGTGTTCTTGCTGACTATAGAGGCGTCTTTTTTTCGGAGAACTGGTGGTTGAGCCTTAAATCTATGGGCTTGGCCCCTAAGTCAAGTTCTAAGTAACAAAGTGAAATCAAGGTCAAAGTAAAGGCTCTACTGGAACCTTGTTGGATGGGGAGGTAGCTCCAGAAGCAACGCTTGACCCCAAAATCAAGTCCTTAATAACAAAGTGAAACAAGGGTTAAAGTTAAGGCTCTACCGGCACCATATTGGATGGGGAGTTAGTTCCAGGGGCAACGCTTGACCCCATAGACCAGTCCTTAGTAGCAAAGTGAAACCAGGGTCGAAGTAAAGGTTTTACTGGTACCTTTTGATGGGAAGTTAGTTCCAGGGCAGGGCTTGAAAGTCCTTAGTAACAAAGTGAAATCGGGATCAAAGTAAAGGCTCTTCTGGCACTTTATTGGATAGGGAGATAGCTCCAAGGGCAAGGCTTGACCTCAAAGTCAAGTCCTTAGTAACAAAGTGATACTAGGGTCAAAGTAAAGGCTCTACAGGCACTCTTTTGGACGGGGTGGTAGCTCTAGGGACAAGGCTTGACCCAAAGTAAAGTCCTTAGTAACAAAGTGAAACCAGGGTCAAAGTAAAGGCTGTACTTGTTGGATGGGGAATTAGTTCCAGGGCAGGGCTTGACCCCAAAGTCAAGTCCTTAGTAACAAAGTGAAATCGGGATCAAAGTAAAGACTCTTCTGGCACCTTATTGGATGGGAAGGTAGCTCCCGGAGCGAGGCTTGACCCCAAAGTCAAGTCCTTCGTAACAAAGTGAAACCAGGATCAAAGTAAAGGCTCTACTAGCACCCTTTTGGATATGGAGTAGCTCAGGGGGCAGGGTTTGACCCCCAAAGTCAAATCCTTAGTAAGAAAGTGAAACCAGGGTCAAAGTAAAGGCTCTACTGGAATCGTATTAGATGGGGAGGTTGCTTCAGGGGCAGGGCTTGACCCCAAAGTCAGGAAAGTCAAGGTCTTAGTCATAAGGTGAAACCAGGATCAAACTCGTACATGCTTTCCTGGCTAGTAGAGATTGTAGGGGGCACCTTGTGATGGTCGTTCCCAGGTAGGAGTTTCAATTTTAAATCTTGAAAATGGGTAACAAATTCAATTATTGCCCCCCCCCCCCAGTCGTTCCTTGAAGGCCCCCCATCATGAGATGCATAAGGTCTTCTTTCTCTGAGCCTCCCCTCCAGCACTGGGTTGTTCTCCATGCAGAATGGGGCACTGAGGCAATGAAACCCTGATCAGCACCCTGACATTTGAAACCCCCCCCAGAAGGCGTGTGCTCGTGACACCCTGGCCTCACGGGAAGACTGTTAAATGATGAGATGCTTCCTTCAAACAAGCCTTGGAACCTGGAGCAATGAGTCTTCAGTGAACAGGGCCAAGGACAAGGTGAGAATTGCAGTGCAAGCTGTGTTTTGAATTTGCAAAAGGGCTGGGCAATATTTTTTTTTGCAATAACAAAACATTAAAATAGGCTTTATAGGGGAAGTGTTTTTTTTTTTTTTTTTTTTATTATATTGATTTTGAATGTTTACATGTGTATACACTTTTTTTTTTTAAATCCTTATTTAGAAATAAAAATGCATCGTAAGCACTGGGCCATCCATTAGGAATGGCCAGCAGTTGCTGCTTGCTTTCTGACCGCCTCTCTCTAAGTGAAGCTACATGCAAAGTCCTATGAGCAGGGAGAGGGAGGATGGTATCCCTCCTGTGCTCATTCAGCAGCTCCAAATATTCATTTGCCTATGGGAAGTGGTAAATGGCAAAGGCGGTTGAAAACTGACCAGCATGCATCACCTGCGGCAAATGATAAAAAATTATAAAGGAGTTTAAAAGAAAAATCCTGGAGCTAGAAAAATATACAACACACGCTTCTCTTAAATTTTTTGTTAAAAATAAAGGAATATTACCTCCTCCTTTTTTTTTTTTTTTTTTTTTTAAATTTTGTAATTTGTTGGCTAAATTTTTTAAAACAGGCAAATTTGTTGGAATTTAAATACTGATTCATAATATTTTATAAATTGACCCATTGAGTGTGTGCCGATGTGTGGGTGTGCACCACTACTATCGTATCAGAGAGTTCGTTTCTGACCCCATAATTTTCTTAAATACCCCATAGATAATAATAATTACAAAAAAAAAATCAAAAAAAAATCAGACTATCGCTGGATTCTAAAACACTCTAAATAATTCCATTCTAGGACAAATCCTGTATTTTCAGTAGCAATTTCAACCCAAGGTAAAGCATACCTAAGAAGACCGACGCCCTACTACATTACACTTTATAGGGGAATTCCTTTTCTGAGCTGTAACAGAAAAAAAAAAAGTTTCAATTATTTATTCATGTATATAAACGTTTTTGTATATAGGAGGACACTGGGAAGGACTATGAGATTGTAACGATTGTAGCCTAAATGTTATTCTAGTGTTATGATTCAAGGTTACGTTTTAATTTAAATCCATTTTTTATATCACCTTATATATATATTTTTATTTCACTTTTGTGAAATTGATTTTGTGTTTCCTTTTATATTTATATGTGTGTTTTTTTTTGTTGTTTTTTTTTTTTTTTTGTGAAGTTGGTTTCAGATTTCCTTTTTATATATATTTTTTTTTTTTTTTCATTTGGATATTGAAATTTACATTAAATTACATGTCTTTATTTATTTTTTTCTTTATTTTTATAAAGTCGCTTTCATATTTCCTTTATTATTTATGTATTTATTTATTTAGTTATGTGACCTTGGTTTTGTGTTTCCTTTTATATTTGTATGTTATTTTTGAGAAGTTGGTTTCATATTTCCTTTTTTATTTGGGTTTGAGAAATTGCAAATTGAAATGACATGTTTCCTTTGATATTTGTATTTATTTTTGTATTATTGTTACTTTTTTTTTGGTGAAGTCACTTTCATGTTTCCTTCATTATTTATTAATTTTTTTTTTTTTTTTTTTTTTTTTCTTAAAAATTCATTTTTGTGAAATCAGTTTAATGATTTCGTTATTTATGTGAAATTGGTTTTGTTTTCCTTTTATGTGTATTTTGATTCTGTGAAGTTTGGTTTTATGTTTTACTTTTATATTTATTTTTTATATTATTTTTGTAAAAATGGGTTTCACGTTTCTGGAAAAAAAAAAACTTTGCTTTTGTTTTGGCAGTTTGTTATAAAGGGAATGTAGGTTTTTTTTTTTACTATGTTGTCATACTATTATTATTATTATTATTCATGCTTTTAAATGAATTTTAATATATGGTCTTAAAACAGGAAAAGGGGTCATTAAAAGTCATATATTCATTCACTTCCCTACTCTTTCTTTTTGTATGTATTTATTAAGTTCTATTAACTATTAATTAATATTTGTTTTAACTCCAAGTATATATTTCAAGTGCATTATGGAGCCTTTTCATAGCATGGTTATTTGCTTAGAGGTAGATACTAGATGGATTTTTCTTCTGAATCTTGTGGCCTGTGCTTTTTTGCCTAACATTTCAAGCCAAATTTTATAAAAATGTTCATGCAATTTTTTTTTCCCCCCTTTTTTTAAAAGGGCGATTCCATCCACATTTTCCTGCTCCTATTCTCCCTTCCCGTTTCCCTTGCTGCTACCTGCATTTCTTCCTTCCTTCATTTCCTCAGAACTTACTCCTTTAGAAAGTCACTTCCTTTATTTATTACATTTTTTTTTTTTTTTTTTTATAATTTTTAACTTTATTTTTTTTTTATTCACTGATTTTTTTTTTTTTTTATTGTTACATTAAAGAATGTATTTTATTGTTATTAAGCACTTTGGATTAACATCAGAAATAATCCTTTTATTCTGAATGTATTTGAACAATTCATCATTATTTAATTTTTTTATTTTTGTTTAAAAAGAAAAAAAAAAAAATATATATATATATAGTAAATCAGCATTTTTAAGCCCATTCAACTCATAATAATTAAAGAATGTACCAAATTCAGTTTTTTTTTGTTTTTTTTTTTCTTTTTCTTTTTTTATATTCTTATAGCTAATATATATTTGTGTCTGTGGTAAAGTAATGAACAGAAATATTTTTTTGAGTTTCTGTTAGTAGAATTATTTTGTTCTCTCATGTTTTTCTGTTTCTCGAGGACGATATATGAAATGCACCGCGTAGGGCCAAAAAAAAAAAAGATGTGGAAGAATGTTGTACCAAGATAAGGAATAAAATAGAGT